TTTGTTACCTTTTTCTTCTCTCTCTTCTTGCCTTCTTTTAAATTGGTTTTTATGATTATACTGACTTATTAGCTATAACTCTTTGTGATGTTATTTTAGTAGTTGCTTTAGGGTTTATAGTATACATCTTTAACTTACCACAGTCTATTGTCAAGTAATATTCTACTACTTCATGTACCATATAAGAATACTACAATACTATACTTAAACAATAAACAGTGTGCTTAAATAGTAAACTCTCCGTCTGGTTTTTATGCTATTATTATCATATATTTTACTTATGTATCTGTTATCAACCTCACAATATATTATCGTTGTTTCTTTTGTTTACACAGTCAATTATTTTTCGTAGAGATTTAAATAATAAGAAAAACATCTTATATATTTAACCTTGTAATTTCCATTTTTCCTTCAGCTTTTGCTATCTCTGAAACATCTATATTTCACCTTTGTTTTTGAGAGATTTTTGTTGGGTATAGAATTTCAGGTTGACAGTTCTTTTCTTTCTGTACTTTAAAGATGTTGCTCACTTTCTTCCTGCTTGCACTGTTTCCAACTAGAAGAAATCTGATGGTATTTTTATCATTGTTCCCCTGTATATAAAGTGTCTTTTTTCTCTGGCTGCTTTTAAGATTTCTCCATTACTGGTTTTGAACAATTTGTTTATGATATGCCCTAGTGTAGTTTTCTTCTTGTTTCTTTTTTTTGTTTCATTGAGCTTTTTGGATTTGTGGATTTAGTTTTCCTCAATTTTGGAAAAATTTCAGCTGTCATTTCTTCAAATAATTTTTCCTGTTCCCTGTCTCTTCTCTCCTTTGGGGACTCCATTTTCACATCTATTAGGCCACCTGAAGTTATCCCACAGTTTACTGATGCTTTTTATATTAAAAACAAAAAAATTCCTTTTTCTCTTTGTGTTTCCTTTTGAATAGTTTCTATTGCTATGTCTTCAAGCTCATGAATCTTTTCTTCTGCCATTAATCTCATCAATGTATTTTTCATTTCACACATAGTAGTTCAATGTGGGTCTTCTATTTTCCATGCCTCTACTTAACTTTTAAACATATGGAATACATTTAAAGTGGTTTTTTAATATTCTTCCCAGATTTAAGGACTCTCTTTAATAATTCTTGTAAGTTTGGTTTGGTTTTTAAATAGTCCCTTAATTTTTGTTTATCTGGAAATGACCTAATTTCACCATCATATCTGAATGGAAGTTTTGTAGGATATATTATTCTTGGCTGGCAATTCTTTTCTTTCAAGGTTTTATATATGTCATCCCATTGCCTTCTTGCCTTGCTTAGTCTTACTGTTTCTCCTGTGTATGTAACTTTTTGTTTTTCTTAAGCTGCTCTCAGGATTCTTTGTCTTTGGTTTTGGCGAATGTGATTATGATATGCCTTGGTGATTTTCTTTTGGGGTCCATCCTATATGGGGTTCATTGAGCTTCTTGGATGGCCAGCTTTTCATCTTTCATGATATTGGGGAAGTTTTCTGTCAGCAGTTCTTCAATGATTCTGTGTTTTCTGTTTTCTCCCCCGTTCTGGAACACTGATCACTCGCGAATTTTTGCTTTTGATTGTATCCCACATAATTCTCAGGGTCTCTTTATTTTTCCTTGTTCTTTTTTCTGATTTTTCCTCAAACAGAGTTGTATCCAAGTGTTTGTCTTCAATTTGGCTGATCCTGTCTTCTACTGTTTCAAACCTGCTCCTCAGCCCTTCTATGACACTGTCCATTTCTGAAATCTTGTTGTTTATCTTCTGGATTTTTAATTGTTGCTTTTGTATGATTTCTAGTTGTGAATTTATTTTGGCATTTTGTTCCTGTATTATTTTCCTGAATTCTTCCAATTTTTTGTCTGCCTTTTCCATGAATTTGTCTATTTTTTCCTCATTTTTGTCTGCTTTTTGTTTCAACTCTTGGATAGCTCTGAATATTAGAGATTTGAGTTCCCTATCAGGTAGTTCTAGTGGAAAGTCATCTGGTGTTTTATTTTGGATGCCTACTGGAACCATCCTGTCCTGTTTTTGTAAATGTTTTGATATTGTCTGCTGTCTTCGGGGCATTTGGTAGTTATTTTCCTCGTTTATTAACTGTAGATTTGTTTGTTTCATCCTGCTTTTTTGTTTTATTTGGTTATGTCTGAGCAGGCAGGCTGTGTGTTCTTTGTTGTTTGCTCGTCTTTGGGCACGATACTTTTTGCCCTATTCTGCAATTGGCAGGGTGAGTCACTCAGATATGGTACAGCAGGGCAGGTCTCGCTGAAGAGGAGTTGCTGGGATGGGTTGTTTGTGGCACTTACTACGGCCACCAGGGCAAGCCGGTAATCAGTGCAGGGCAGGTTCTGGTAGGCCGTGCCTGGGCTGCTTCGTGGTGTGATGTTTAGTGCACAGTGCAGGTAGGCAGGATGGAGGGGGGAGACTGTGATGTGTGGAGCTACGATGGTTATAGGAGACAGGAAAGAGGAACAGGAGCCAAAAACACACAAACAAGAAAGAGTGCTAGGTGAGCTTGCCGTTGGAGTGGAGAGATGAGACTATGAAATGGAGAAAAACAAAAAGCAGAAGAAAAGAAAAAATGAATAAATAAAAATTAGAAACAAAGAAGAAAAGCAAAGCTCCCAGGGATGCCTCCAGTGCGCTGCAAGGTCTGGGGAAGTTGCTTCCAGGCTGTGAAGTACAGCCTGGCTAGGAGGTGCATACGTGTCACTCAACGCTAGGTATTCAGGGGACAGGAAGAGAAGGAAAGTATAGAGAGACGAGAAACTGAGTAACGAAGAAAGACAAAAAGGGAAAAAGAGGGAAAAGAAAACAAAACAAATATAAAAAAAAAGAACAAGAAAACCCCCCAAAGAAAAACAGAAAAAAAAAAAAGTTCTCAAAAAAATAAGAAAAAAGAAATGTCCTCAAGGATCCCTCTGCAATTCTGCACAAACTGAGGGGGTAGGTCCCAAGCTGCGCAGTACTGCCCCACTAAAACAGGTTCCCAATTCAGGAAAAGAAAAAGAAAACAAACAAACAATTAAAAATAAACTAAAAAAAAGCCCTGAGATCCCACCAGCGTGGCAGCACGGGCCAGGAAGCAGTTTCACATTCGAGTAGTGTTTCACAGCCTTTCAGGAAGAAGCAAAGATGGCGCACAGAGCCAGGTATTTCAGAGAAAGGAGGGTCAGGTGGTGAGAGATAAGGAACAAATCTAAAGAATCGGAAAAAAGCAACACCAGCAGCCAACAAATGGCACTTAGGGAGCCGGCCAGCGCGGGTGGGTGGAACCCAAGCGACACCGGGGTGAAGGTGGTGCTTCCCAGCCAAGACACTGGCCACAGTGGAGATGAAGAAGGGTGGGGGGTGGGAAAGCATATATCACTGGTTACCGGTTGTTCTGTCTCCTGCTGGAAGCTCCATGAAGCTGCTTTCTTGTACTCCCTGTTCACTAATGTCATTTTTTTAATGTTCTTGCCTGCTAATTCTAAGATCTGTGTAGGTTCTGAATTGGTTTTATCAATTCATTATTCTCATTATTGGTTGTGTTTTTCCGCCTCTCTATATGTCTGGTAATCTTTGAATGCCCAAATTATGAATTTTACCGCCCTGGGTGCTGGTTATTTTTGTATTCGTAAACATCTTCTTGCACTTTCTTCTCAGATGCAGTTTAATTACTTGCAAACCGTTTGATTGTCTTAAGTCTTGCTTTTATGATTTGTTAGGTAGTTATGGAGCAGGGCTCAGTCTAAGGCTAATTACTCCCTACTATTAAGCAAGAACTTTCTGTGTATTCTACCCATACCTTGTGAATTTTGAGATTTTCCAGACTGGCTGATGGGAACAGGCACTATTCCCAGCCCTGTGTGAGCACCAGGCTCTATTCCTCTAATCCTTTCAGATAATTTCTCCCTTAGTTCTGGGCAGTTTCCTCAAATACATCATGCATTGATCAGTAGTACTCTGCTGAATATTTGAAGGGGAGATCTTCTTCAGAACTCTATGGCTTTCTTTCTGTGCAGCTCTCTCCTCTCTGGTACTCTGTCCTGCAAACTCTAGCTGCCTTGGTTTCCCTGGACTCTCAACTCCATCTTCGCAAATTAGAGTCGGTCAGGCTCAATCAGGGTTCCCCTTTCCTGTACTGTGACATGGAAACTGTCTCAAGGTAGGCTGGGATAATGTAGGGCTCACCTCATTTGTTTCCTATCTAGAGATCACCCTGCTTAGATGCCTGATCTCCAATGACTTGAAAACTGTTGTTTAAAAATATTTTATCATTTTAAAAAAATTGTTTCAGGTGGGTGTATGAATCTAGTCTCTATTATTTCAAATGTGCAGAAGGCCTCAATTTGCATTTTTTTTTGAAAATGGACAAATTTCAAACTCAAAGTGAAATGTTGACAGTCTGTGGAAATAATCATTGAGTTCTAAAGGAAGGGAGATATAAATAACTTCCTTGTGTTTAGCAGCAGTATACTTCTTTGGCTACCAGCCTTATCATATACTGATACAGTTAGCATCATCTGTACATTGTCTGGGGCACTTAATCCTATGTGAGAAGCTCTGGATAACTTTTGATGAGCTCCTAAAATGCTCACCAACAGAGCTCAATGCCAATATGCTTACAGAAAGATAAGATTGTGGCAGGGGTGTTAAGTTCAGAGAAATTGATACTGCTCCATTTTCCAGAACTGTCTAAGGACCATAATTCTCTTTCCTATTAGTCTGAATTAAGAGCTGTAGTCAGAATAATAGTTGTTTTCAGTAACACAGAATATCCTCAAGGAGATGAGTAAGAAGGAAAGGTTGTTGCTTGGAATGAAGCTGGGAAGAACGTCTGCTGCCAAAACTCATGGTGATCAGATACTACTTCTTGAGTTATGTTCTTCCCATAGAAGTTTATTCTGCGTTACTCAGGGGAGAAGCCCAAGGGCTCCCACCTCATGTTTTGCTTGTCTAAGAACCAGAAAAAAACTACTTGCCTCCCACCTACTAAAGATGTTGAGAATCAATTACCTGCTTGAAGCAATGGACAGGCGCTGGGACTGAACATGTTTCTTTTAGGTATCTGTCCCAGGTAAAATGACCTGTAAAGGAAATAGAAATCTCTATCACGGTCAACTTCCTAAAAAAATTCTTTCAGGAAGTCAGTAATCTACACTAAACATTAGCCATTGCAGACTGGCCTGGAGCATGAGAAAATTTATTTTTCCCTCTTTGAGATCAAAGGAGTATTTAGAGAATGGAACATATTCACCAGAAGGGGAGGAATCTAGGTGACCTGAACCTAAGTGCCAGAGCAAGATATACCAGTGTCTTGAAGAAATAAATGCCCAGGCAGCTTGTGGAAAATAGAAGAGAAGAGACGGAAGGTGGGTGGGGGAATTCCTTCTGAACAACCTGACTCCTGGAGAGGTTCCGTATTGCTGTCAAGTGACAGCTTCTAACACCCAATATGGTCAGATCAGCTGGGGAAGAATAAAGGAGAGGTTACCTAGAGACATGGAGTGGGAGGCATAAGGGGAGGGGAAGTGAGAATGAGTGAGATTATGCTTGAATTCTCACTCTAAAAACTGGTTCTTTCACCCACCCACCTCCCACCCTCATCCCTGACACAGCTACATTGCTCTGAGGTGCAAAATGACAAGGATCTGATAATTTAGAGAAAAGTAGGACCTGGGTAGTCTATCTGATAATAGGAACTAAGAACATGTTGGGAATTCTCAAGTCTTTTAGCCTTTTAAAGTGGTAGAGGGCCTCTCAAAGTTTGAGGCATACTGTGTTAGAGAAACAGTCTTTAAGGTGACATAATGCTAGGGCCAGAGAATATGGCTTAAGGGTCAGGCTATTAAATATGTATCTCACTGGACCACAAAAGATTACCAAATTCTTATTTAAAAATTAACTAATTACCAATATCCTCCTAATACCCACCTAGAGGTGACCCCATGATGTAGCAGGGAAGGTCCCAGAGACTCTCACAAGCTAAAATACTGTAGCAAACCAGCATTTCTTGAAGTTTCCTCTGTAGTGGAGCAGCACAGGGCCCCTTTGGGCCATGCAAAAAGCACTAGATGCTGGGAATAAAAATGAGTAACTGAATGATGAAATCTAAATCACTCCAAAGATGATGCCAACACTTTACACTCTACTGGCTTTATAGCTTCTGTTTTAAAACTTGTCCCTTTCCCATCATCCTTTACTAAGCTAAACAGATTTGGCCAGAAATCACATGGTCAATTCTCAACAATTTCATGAACTGGCTAGTGATTAATCATCTTGACTAGACAGTCCATAGGGTAAATGAGATGGATAGTTCCTGGAGTCAAGAATTTAAAGAGCTTATCTGAAATTAATAAAGGGTTTGTTAGCTGCTGAGAAAGCCCTAAAGCAAGGACTGAATACATTTTATCACTGTCTGCTATTAGAAAAAGAAAACACACAAATTTTTATTCTATTCTTATAAGAATTAAGTCAAACAGTATGTTTTAGATTTGACTAGGCTGCAATTCTTAAACTCTAACATCTAAAGCAGTATTTCCAATAAAACTTTCTACACTAATAGAAATGTTCTATACCTTTGCTGCTCAGTAAAATAAGCCACTAGCCACATATAACTAGTGAACACTTGAAATGTGGCTAATGTGAGTGAGGAAGTACATTTTAAATTGTATTTAATAATTCAATTTAAATACCTACATGTGCCTTACAGATACTGTATTAGGCATTGCAGGTTAAGGGATTTGGATAGTTCTGGGTGATTGGCTGTATTAGTTTGAGTTCTGACCAAAAGCATCCAAGAGACTTTAGTTTTGAAAATTATGGCAGCATCAGGAGTACCAAAATAATTAGGTATTAATTATACTTCTCTATTATACAACTCAACTATGGTAATCAATTCCTGTGCTGTAACATATAAAGGTCAGAAACCTCAGATCTTCTACCACCTAGGGAACACCCTATTACCAACTAAACGAAAAGGAAACTCTGTTTAAAGTTGTGCAGCCACTGTGAGGGTTGACTGGCTTTAACCATATCTAGATTAGTATTTGTCTGATCTTTGCCTGTTTGCACTATCTACGGTTTAGTCCTTATTATTGGGTAAACTGCAAAATAAGATAATTCTTATTAACTCAATAATATTTGAGCACCTACTGTATGCCCAGGTCGCTGGGTGATGCAAACAGTTTGTGCTCAACTACTAACCTAAAGGTTGGCAGTTTGAACACATCCAGAGGCACTGCAGAAGAAAGTCCTGGCTATCTGCTTCTGTAATGATTACAGCCAAGAAAATCCTACAGGGAGGCTCTACTCTGCAACACATGGGGTCGCCATTAGCAGGAACCGACTGGAAGGCAAACCAAACCCATTGCCGTCGACTTGATTCCGCTCATAGCGACCTTATAGGACAGAGAACTACCCCGTAGGGTTTCCAAGGCTGTAAATCTTTACGGAAGCTGACTGCCACATCTTTCTCCCACAGAGCACCTGGTAGGTTTGAACCACTGACCTTTTGGTTAGCAGACAAGCACTTAATCACTGCACCAGCAGGGCTCTTTGACTCAAAGGCAACGGGTTATTGTATGCCCATCACAGAGCCGGACATCATATGTCTACCATGTCTTCAAGCACTAAAATAGTCACAAAAGAAACAGGACAGGCAGCAAGGTATATAGTTCAGGGGTTGGTAAACTTTCTGTAAAGGGCCAAAGAGAAAAAAATTCTATGGTTTGTGGGTCATACAGTCTGTCACACCTACTCAACTCTGTCATTGTAACGAGACAGCAGCCACAGATAATATGTAAATAAAGCATGGCTGTATTCCACTAAAACTTTACAAATACAAGCAGCAGGCTGGATTTGACCCTTGAACAGTAGTTGCTGACCGCTGGTATAAATTGCTGATTCCCAAAACATTACTTATCATCAAAATCTGAGTAGCTTTCTTTTTTAAACAGAGTCCTGGGTCCCACCTTCAGCGATTCTCATTCAGTAGGCTTTGAGTGTGGCCTAAGAATTTGTATTTTCAAAGGCTCCCTAGGTAATCCTGATTACCTACTGTCTTAGAGCCCTGCTTGTACAGTGGTTAAGAGCTCGGCTGCTAATCAAAAGGTCGGCAGTTTGAATCTGCCAGCTGCTCCTTGGAAATCCTATGGGGCAGTTCTATTCTGTCCTATAGTGTCGCTATGAGTCAGAATCAACTTGACAGCAACGGGTTGTTGTTTGGTGTAATTGAAAGAATATAAGATTGCGAGTCAGAGGATGCTTGTTAAAGTCTTGTTTCTATAACTAACCATCTTAGGCAAATTACTTAATCCTTCCAAGACTCAGTTTACTCATCTGAAAAATAGATATAATATCTATCTTACAAGATTGTACATATACTTCTTCATTCAACAAACATTTATTAAACTCTTCCTATGTGTGAAGTACTGCAGTAAATCTAAGGGGAACAAGACAGATATGGTTCCTAAATTCATGGAGCTTGCAGTCTAGAGACAAGCAGAGACATTAAATAAAAAATTATACAAATAACCTGTTATAATTGTGAAACAAATAAATTAATGAGGTAGTACACGGTGCCTTGAGAATGCAGAACAGGGAAATCTAGTCTATACTTGGTGTCAGAGATTATTGTGAAGTTTAATATTAATATTAGCTAATATAAGTATAAAGTTTCACAAACTATAGAATGTTTTCAATTATTCATTCAACAGATGTTTACTGAGTATCCTGTATGTGCTAGACAGTATTCTAAGCGCTGGAATATAGTAAGAGGTCCCTGGCCTCATGGAATTTACAAACTGGTGCGTGGTAAGATACAGTTAACACCACAAACAAGGTAAGAAATGATAAGTACTTGAAGAAAATAAAATAAGGTGATACGACAGAGCCTGGAAGCTATTTTAGGTAGAGAAGTTAAGGGCAGATGCTCCATAGAGGTAACATTTGAGCCGAGACCTTACAGATGAGAAAAAGCCAGCCATCTAACTTTTAGCCGATCCTCATTATTGTGGATTCCCTATATGCAGACTCATCTACTTGCTAGAATTTATTTGTAACACCAAAATCAATACTTGGGGTGCATTTGCAAACATGCACAGAGCAGTGAAAAATCTGAGTTGCCTAACACACCTCAGCTGGGAATGTGTGTGTTGTTGTCCTTAGGTGCCATCGAGACGGTTCCCATTCATAGCAATGTACAACAGAATGGAACACTGCCCAGTTCTACGCCATCCTTACAATCCTTGTTATGCTTGAGCCCACTGTAGTAGCCACGGTGTCAGTCCATTTTATTGAGGTCTTCCTCTTTTTCGATGACCCTCTGCTTTATCACCTATGATGTCCTTCTCCAGGGACTGGTCCCTCCTGATAACATGTCCAAAGTATGTGAGACTAAGTTTCGCCATCCTCGCTTCTAAGGAGCGCTCTGGCTGTACTTCTTCCAAGAAAGATTTGTTCATTCTTCTGGCAGTCCATGGTCTATTCAGTACTCTTCACTAACACCATAACTCAAAGGCATCAACTCTTCCTTATTCACTGTCCAGTGTTCGCATGCATATGAGGCAACTGAAAATACCACAGCTTGGGTCACTTAGTCCTCAAAGTGACATCCTTGGTTTTCAACATTTTACAGAGGTCTTTTGCAGCAGATTTGCCTAATGCAATACTGCGTTTGATTTCTTCACTGCTGCTTCCATGGGCGTTGACTGTGGATGCAAGCAAAATGAAATCCTTGACAACTTCAATCTTTTCTCCGTTTATCATGATGTTGCTTACTGGTTCGGTTGTGAGAATTTTTCTTTTCTTTATGTTGAGATGCAATCCATACTGAAGACTGTAGTCTTTGATCTTCTTCAGTAAGTGCTTCAAGTCCTCTTCACTTTGACCAAGCCAGGTTGTGTCATCTGTATATTGCAGGCTGTTAATGAATCCTCCTCCAATCCCGATGCCCTGTTCTTCTTCATATAGTCAACCTTCTCAGATTATTTGCTCAGCATACAGACTAAGTATGGTGAAAGGATACACCCCTGACACACACCCTTCCTGACTTTAAACCACACAGTATCCCCTTGTTCTGTTTAAACAACTGCCTCTTGCCTCTTGGTCTATATATAGGCTCCGCATAAGCACAGTTAAGTGTTCCAGAATTCCTATTCTGCATAATGTTATTTGTAATTTGTTATGATCCACACAGCCAAATGCCTTTGCATAGTCAATAAAACACAGGTGAACATCTTTCTGGTATTCTCTGCTTTCAGCCAAGTTCCATTTGACATCAGCAATGATATTCCTTGCTCGTTCCACGTTCTTTTCCGAACGTGGCTTGAATTTCTGGCAGTTCCCTGTCAATGTATTGCTGCAACCACTTTTGAATGATCTTCAGCAAAATTTTACTTACGTGTGATATTAATGATATTGTCTGATAATTTCTGCATTCTATTGGATCACCTTTTTTTGGAATGGGCACAAATATGGATCTTTTCCAGTCGTTTGGCCAGGTAGCTGTCTTCCAAAATTCTTCCCTAGGAGCAATGATTCAGTATGTGCTGATTCACTGTTCACAGCGACTGTATAGAGTATAATGCAAATAATGAAAATTGACTGTATTTCGCTAAATAATGCTTATGAAAGTGTTATATAAACTCTGTGGCACAAGAAAGAGCACTGGTGGCATGATGGTTAAGCACTTGGCTGCTAACTGAAAGGTCTGCAGCTTGAACTCACCAGGCCTTCGTGGGAGAAAAGACCTCGAGATTTGTTCCCACAAAGATTTCAGCCTAGGAAACCCTATGGGGCAGTTCTACTGTCCTGTAGGGTCACTATGAGTCAGAACTGACTCGATGGCACACAACAAGGCACAAGAAATGATAGTTACATTTATTATTAGGAGAATAACATCCCCGCACTGAAAGAACTTACAGGCTATACAAAAGTACCTTTAAAAAATTAAAAGTGCTATAAAATGTAAAGCACGAGAGGTCACTTAGTCTAATGCATGAATCCCCTTCTCTAATATTCATTGATTCAACAAATATTTACTGAGCACCTATTATATGCCAAGCCTGGTTCTACT